TATTGCTGCCATTTTTTTTTCTTATCTTCCTTTTTTCTTTTGTTGTAGAAGTTATTGTGGGAGTACTTTCCCAAGTTACCTGTTGGATATTTTTTATAAAAACTTCTAATTCGTCATCAAGTTGTCTCGTGTTTCTCAATGGCACAGCAAGATGAATTTTGTGTTCAAGGTTTATTTTGAAGCTCTTCCAGTCAGTTTTTTAATTAGTAAATATTGGATTGAACTCTTTTTTAATCACTGTATCATTCATAGTTAAAATTATCGGTGAGTGATCAGAGTTCATGTTCCAGACGTCATTGATATCCTGATAGTTGGCTGAGATATTTTTGTAAATAAAGAAATCTATCAGGTCTAGAATTTTGTTCCTATCGGTAGGCCAGTATGTCGGTCTACCAGTAGAGATTATTTCACCCTTTTGTTTCTTAACAGCTGACAATAGTTCTTTTCCTTTAGTTGTAGTTATCCTAGAGTCCCAGTGGATATTCTTTGGATTAAAGTTGCCACCGCTGATGTATCTTTTTCCCAAAGTGTTCATAAACTATTTATATTGTTCTCTTTTAATGGAGTGTCTAGGAGGACAATATAATGAACTTATATTTACGGTATGTGTTTCCATCTTTACACAGACTGTTGTAGGTTGTATGTGCTCAGTTGCATATTTTAATTCCTCATGATGCAAGATGTTATCTTTAATTATGATAGCGCTTCCTCCTTTTGCTGCATTATCTGGGCGTACAGTAGAATATACTCTATACCTCCTAAATTTTACATATCGTCGGTATTTCCGCAAAAACTCGTATGAGACTTTAAGTAAACTTTACAGGAGAGGTAAAAAATGGTTTAACACAGCATTATTTTTGTAAAGGACTTATATATTGATACTAATTAGTAATAAAGGTAATTTCTGACAAAATTTATAAGGTATTTAAGAGATTTTTTGTAAAATGTCTTCCTTTGGTCTCATACTAGGTTTTGCAGGTCGCGAAAGTGTCAATAAAGTTCTGATACGAGCTTTTGCTCACCTGAAATAATAATAAATTTAGCAAAATAAGTTTATTAACCAAATATACATGTCTCTACTAAAGGGAGACATATTTTTATGTAATAAAAAAGTAACAAAACTTAAACACTAATGCGGTATATTATCATAATATTCCCAGAATTCAGAATCCATTGCTATTTTTAAACTTTGTAAATGGTTAAATTTCTGTTGCTGTATTTTTAATCTTTCAGTGTAATTAGGTCTTATGCTGTGCATCTGCTCCAGATTGGGCCTTTTTGTAAAATCCTGCCATTCGTCGGAGAAGTTTAATTTGTACTTAATTTGGCCCCTGATATCATACTTCAGACATCGAATGTCTGATACAGTAGGATCACCAACTTTATATCCTATTCTGATACTGCTGTAATACTTCAATTTTGTGAAATTGCGAAAATCACTATAATGAAAATACTTCACAACAAAGGGCTTGGCAGAGCGAGCTTCTCTGCAAATCCGAATATAATCGGAAGGAAGATAAATATCTTTGTTCTTTAAACGACGCTCTATGAGGCTATATGCGCTATCCACTTCCATCTGTGTATGTCCCTTCTCTAAAAAACTTTGAATTATGGTGATCTTCTTTTCAATTGATAATTTTATCAAGGCATTCGACAACACAACATTACGATTTTGGTAACCGCAACCATCACTATATATAACTATTTCTTTTAGGAAGGGACACTTCGCAATTGAATTTTCCAAAGAACTGTAAATAATCGAAGTTATGTTTGTAGCTTCTAATGAACCGTGGGTCTCATCCCATAGAAAGCAGTGTACATCTGTTGTAGCCAAATTAAACACAGTATAATTATGCACACATAACTTTGTCTTGTAATACATAGCAGAACATCGCAAATAAGGAGCAAGTTTTACTGCGTGCATATCAACAGTGACCAATAAAGTCTTATCTGGATTACATAAGGCTGCTTCTTTATCTTTTTTCTTTTGTTCTCTTGCTTCTGTTTTTCTTTTCTGGTGTGCTTCGTATTCTTCATTTGTTTCATGACCATGTTCATAGGCCATACATAAATCGCACGGGTCTTTCTTTGGTCGAAATATACTTAAGTTTTGCTTGTTAAATTCTGCAGTAAACGAATTTCGGCTCAAAGCTTCTATATTTTTCTCTTTCGCAAATTTTACATATTCCCTAAACACTTCGTTTTTACATTGAAAAACTGTTTCAAGGTATAATTTTGCCGTAGAAGCTCTACAGTAATGGCTTGGTAGTTTTGGAATTGTTTCTAGGTATTCTTTTAGTACATTTTTACTATGTTGTACGTCAGCAGAAACCCTTTTTCGTGATTCACTAAGTTGCTTATTTTCCTTGGCATGCATCCCTGATTTATGTTCAGCTGACAAACACCAGCTTCTAACCGACCATTCCTTTAATCCAAAAGTATTAAGGAACATTGTCTTACAAACTAATTGTTTTTTGTTATTGCTTTTTAGGTAATAATAAAAAGACGTTGATCTTCTAGATCCTTCCTTTTTTTTCTTGCTATCCACTACATCCACTAAAGTAGCAATATATGATTTTCGTGCTGTCCAAGATGTCATTGATTTCCAAAAGGTATTAAAAATTTGATCTCTAGTAATATCTGAAATTCCTGAGCAATTCCTTCCTGTTTTCTTACATTTATTTGACTTGCACCTTGGGCCAAGTTTTCGTTCATTTCCACACTTTATGTACTTATACTTTCCACCAATTTTTTTAAGCCCTTCATATCCCTCACCGTGTAGACGTAATTTTTTTTCACGTTCTCTCTTTGCTCTACTCCGTTTTTTTCACATTAGATTAATCTGATATCAATTCACTTGTATTATTTTCTGTAAGTACAATTTGATTTACCATAGCATCTAACTCATTTTCGGAAATAGTTTCTCCTTGTATAATTTCTGTTGGAACAAATACCAGGGGATCCAGAACTTCACATCGTTCTGTATTATTTAAGACTAGTGCGGGCTCTATATCAAATATAACATTTTTTAAAACTGTGAATTGTTGTGTTGTGCTCTTCACTTGTTGACGATGGTTTTCTTTTAACCATTGAGAGACCTTGTCAGAAATAGTTGGAGTTTCTTCTATTTCTATTTGTACATTGCTGTCATCTGTGAAATATTTTGGAATAACTTGTTGAAGTTCATCAATGTTAACGTCGGAAGAATCTACTAGCATATTTGTCTGATTTGTGGAGTTTACATCCTCTAAAGTCATTTGTCTTTCATTGTTAGATTCCTCGAAAAACACATCAGTTCCAGTTGTTATAATGCTTGTAGCCATCTGCATAATTTTTTTACTCCTGGCCGAGATTTCAGCCATCGTCAAACTGAAAAAAAAAAAAATATATTTGTAATATGTACGTAAATTGGAACATTTGAAAATGCAAAAGGATATTTTTTTGTGAGTGTAGCAGACCGAAATTTGGGCGGGGAATCACATAACATAACGGATAGTACCGAACTAAATAGTAAGAAAACAATTTTGTGAGATTTATCTTTTTCCTTTAGTGAATTTTGATTAGAAAATATCACGTTTATTGCTAAAATTATAAAGTATTTCTTTTTTAAAATGTTAAAATCACCAAATCAAGTGTTAGTTAAAACCTCGTATTAGAATAAATTGTTATTGTAAATCCATGTATGAGAAATTTCTTAACGGGAAAAAACCACGTATTAGACGTAAACATTTTAAACTAGCTTTTTATAGTTACGCCTTATTAAAACAGAAATATACATTTAAATTCAGTACAATACAATCCTATGTTATACTAACTTACCTTTCTCAAGACACTTGTGCAACTATTTCCAGAAATATTTAAAAACAAACGAAGAGATAAGCGTACTGTCAAACGAACTAGCTCATACACGTTTTTTCACGTCGAAGGCTGATAGGAGGTTATGAATTGTTGCCAGTTCTAATAGGTATATTTATATTGGGTTTCTTGATATTTTTATTACGTTAAAATGTGTATTTTTTAACGGAGTTTCTGACAGAGCAAAAAACTAATTTCTTGAAAAAAATTCTCACACGCGGTTTTGCAGAATCACCGACGATATGACTGTTTAGTGAAGTGTGTTTCAGAAACGAGACACAGATCAATTTTCTCAATGTCTAGTAATGCTTGCAACTCGATCTGATGTTGTAACAGTCCATTTCCGTTCCACGACATTATTCGGAGGTACTTAGCCATTTCTGATTTTCGGAATAGCTCCTTCAGCGCTATGCTCTAATCGGGTAACTCTGATATCGATTTGAGTTATTTTGTCATCAATATCAGTTTCTTTTTCTTTTTGCGATAATGCATGTCTCCTTGCATTTTGTTACATCGCTGTAACTTCTATTTTCACTGACCTCTGCCGTTTTTAGTATTTTTTCTTTCAATAAGTCTACGGGGTACTTTTATCACATTGTCTTTGTGTGTTCCCTCGTTTTTCATTGTTTGTAATTTTTTAGCTAGATAACATCCGCGGACCTCTCTTATGAACGAGAATTATTGGTCTGGTATGCGTCTTGATCTTTCTTAGGCAGTTCGTAAATATGCCTGCTAAGATTTTCCAGGTTTTTTGCCAAAGTTATGTAGATGTTATGCCATCTATTCCAACTTCTTTACCACTTTTCATTTTTCTAATTGAGAATTCGACTTCTCTTTCTTCTCTTTCGAAATTACTTCGGGTACATCTTATTGGTTACTGATTGCTTCTTGAAGTGTATCAGGGGTTTTCTACAGTTCGCTTTTAAAATTTAGTCACGAGTTTTCTTTAATAATATTTTTATTCATCAAAGATTTTAAAAATATGGAATATTTTTAATTATAAGGATATTAAAATTGTTTAATGTAATGCTAGTTGCATACATTAGAAGATTAATATTTATTTAACTGTCTGTCATTCACAACAAACTTCAGAGTGCTTCAGACTTCTGCCGGTGCGGGGTGCGGGCAAATTTCCCAAAACCAAACAAACAAACGTGCGTGACCAAACCAAACAAATCGGGTGAAATCGGTGCGGGCTGTTGATTTCTGTTTATTTTGATTTCAAAAATTTTTGTTGTGACAAAAATTTTCCATTTTATTATACATAATACATAAATTATGTAAACATTATTTTAAAATATTAATTTATATCGGTGTAATTGATTTAATTAATCATTCTTAAATAACAATTTATTTTATGTGTAAATTGGGAATATAAGAAATTTTGGGGAATATGTACATATTATTAATTATTTTAATTTAATCTATAATTTACAGACATTTATTCATGAGATTTTCTTATAAACAATATATGAATCATGAAAATTCTCATAATTCCGCTTCCTCTATTATTATTCTGCTAAGATTTAACTTCTCATCTGTTTTCTTACATTACTTACTGGTACTTAAGTACTTACTTAAACTATTTTTTAATTTTTCGTCCTCGTTAATTCTAATAAGTATCAATCATATCATATTTAAGTAAACCAAACTTTTATTGATAATGTAATGTTTACAACTTCAAAATATTTTGACTTCATCATACTCTTGTGTTTGCTTTGTTGATTGATTCTTTTATATTTCAGCTTTTGTCTGTTTCATGTGGTTTACTACATATGCTGCATATCAGCTGTGGATAAAGGAAACCATGCATGATACAGCTTCCCAGTGTCAAACACCTGTGGAGGAGGTTTAAAATACAAACAACTACAAAAATATCTTTGTTTTATACACCAAAAATGATTCTAGCTGTTATACATTCAGTTTGTTTTAATTTCAGAATAAGGTATAGGTAAGGTATATTTTATTGGTCCATTATTTATCTCATTTAGTTATTATTTCACATCAAGTTATGAAATCTTTTTGTTTTTGTTTGTTTTTATTTATCTTAAGATAAATTTGTATCACTTTTGTATAGTTTGTAAATTGTTTGTGAAAGTGATATTTGTCTTTTTAAACTTAAGATATCAACTCTGTGTTAAAAGTTGGTTAATAGTATTTTAGCTACATGTACTCTATATCCTTGTAATATTCATATTGGTAGACTTATATTTAAAATCGTAAGATGGTTATTGTAGTTTATACTGTAGAATCAATATTTTGATGTTTTTTATTACATATATAAATAACATTCTGCAGTTTTAATAAAAATAATGTCACAAGTGTGAGGACAATTGAGGAAAACACAATAACACGAAAGATACAACATTTATTACTCATCATCATCATTTGTTACTTAAGAATATCCTTTGATACAACAGAACAATCTCATTGACGGCTTCAACAATGGTTTCCAACAGTCAGCCACCATATAGCTGTGTGTTTTTCATTTTCCTTGATAACACGTTTTCATGCTTTAAATGTCCTGATGGAATCTTTCTCTCTGTTCTTCACTATGTCACTTAGGTTTTCTGTGAATTGATGAATCAAAGTGACTGGGAATGTAGTGAATTTTAATGCTCATGTTACAACCCAGAATATTAAAATTGGAAAGCATATTTTCTACTAATTCTATGTAATTATCTGCCTTATGATTTTTAAGCAAATTTGCCACAAGGCTGTACATTGTGGATCTTTAATAAGCTGTCTTTTTTGAGAACCATCAGATATTCTGAATTTCAGTTTTTCTGTGCTTATTCCAGAAAATTTATGTGACAAGTATCCTAAACATGAATTAAAGCCTTTCTTGATCAGAGTCAACCCAGTATCTGCTAATTACAAGTCTTTCAACTTTGTACAAATGTGGTTTACACATACAATACAATATCTCAAACACTGCATCAAAATGTTATCTATTCTGTGCCACTCTTAGTAGAACATTCATGCCCATCCAAGCTCTAATATTGCAATGTCATGATACTGCTTTTCTGCCTACTCTTATTTGGCCCTCTACGTTCTCTTCAATTATTATTCGTAGCAGGTTATGTTTGTCATTTCTCATTATGTGGCCTAGGTACAAGGTCTTTCTTTTCTTAATTGTTGTTATAAGTTCTAACTCTATGGTGTTTAATACTGTTTGGTTTATGACTGTGATAAAGTAACATTTCAAAGGCTTATAGCTGTCTCATGTTATTTAATTTTAATGTCTAGGCTTTGAATTTTAAAACATTAACAAAATCAGTGAATCTAATTGTCCTTGGTCTGTAGAATAGAAGCCATTAATTCCAAATTTTTCATATAAATGTAAAAGATGCCTAAGCTTCTCCACTACAGTGTTATTATTTTTTATGCTAAAATTAGAGTTATTGGACTTAGTAGCTATGAGAGAAGGATTATCGCTAGACAGCATAAAATATTGTAATCAAATGAAAAGGACAGCAAATATTTGATTTCACGCAAACAGTGCCTATGTATCTGTTGATACATATTTCGACCTAATAGGTCTCATCAGAACAGTTATTCATAGGTGTTCTCAACGTGAAAAATCAATATTTTCTGTCTTTTAAGAAGCAACACTAAAATGGCTTCAATACGGACGCGATAGCGACATCTAATAATAAAATTCGTAAAATAGTTTCGAAACACAATTCAGATTTCTCCTTATAATCTGAGCCTTTTAAAAATTGCAAGGCAAACAGACGTTGATAAAAGATGTTAAAAGGGACATGGGGAATCTAAAATTTGCATTCCACGACATGTCTTTACAACTAAGCAGAAATCCTTAGCGAGAATCCACATCTCAACATCTTATGTAACCTATAGACACAAATTAGAAATGTTTGGAAAGGTTTTTAAAAAACCCGCTAATTATGACGTCAGACTTAGGTGGTCCATTCGAGGCTAAATATGGTTGTCAAGTTGTTAGGGAAATCTAGGGAAATTTGGCAAAAATTCTAGGGAATTAAAAAAAATCATCTGGCAACCCTGGCCTCGAACACAGTTGCCTGTTGACCGTGCCACTCCTTCGCTCAGTGCTCAGTGCTTACCAGTCTACGCAAGGCCAGTTTTGTGATTGTGCTGCGAGATGACACAAACCAAAATATACCCAGAAGTACTTATTCCTCTTATAGAAAATAGACCTATAATATGAGATAAAACTTAAGAGAACTATAAGGATAAAAATTTGCGAACTGCCGCATGGCGCGAAGTTTGTATTATTTTGAATGAAGAATTTGAGGGGATGGAAGAGGAAGAAAGAAAAAATTTTGGTAAGTCTTAAATTTAAATCTTTATTGAAATAGTATTAATTTAGCTCTGTATTGCTTCATCTTGCCACTGTACAGCTCCCACTTCAGACATAAAATAATTAGTGAACTCTCTTCTTATTGTATTTGCACAATGTCCACCTCGCGCACTTAGATCGCTCCGTATATTTAACCAAGATGTTGATTCATTGCTTTCCATGTTAGCATATGAACTTTCATTATTTATTATATAGTTATGGAGTACAGTGCAAATTTTTACTATCGAAATAGCGGTACTAATGCTTACGTCCAATGGTCGATGAAATATTCGCCATTTGTTTGCCAATATTGCGAACGCACATTCTACGTAACGTCTGGCTCCAGTTAATCGATAATTAAATATTCTTTTATTTTTATCTAGATGAGTTCCTCCGTAGGGTCTTACCAAATTATAATGTAAACCGAATCCTTCATCCCCTATTATCACAAAAGGTACGTTTGATTCCAAACCTTTAGAAAGAGGGCGAGCATCCGGCAAATCTAAACTGCCATCAGTTAGATTTTTCCAGAAAGTCGATTCTTTGAATATAGAGGAATCACATTCTTTGCCATATGAGCCTACGCTAATATAGATGAATCTATAATTCGAATCCACTACTGCTAGTAATACAATGGAAAAAATCCTTGTAATTAAAGTACATAGAACCACTGCTATTTGGTTTCTTTAATCTTATGTGTTTCCCGTCTACTGCACCAATACAGTGAGGGAAATTTGCTTTAGTAAAGAATCCGTCAGCAATTTCTTCCTATTCAAATTTTGTGTTTGGAGGTTTCATAGACTCTTCACACAAGTTGTTCCATATGACATTTGTTACGTCTATAATAATATTACTGATTGTTGAAACTCTCACTCGATACGTATAATGTAAATCCATAAATGAACACCCAGATGCCAAGTACCTGCAACTATTTTTGAATGTATCATTGTTTTCTTTTTCAGCAAAACATGTCGTTAAGAAATGTAATCAGATTAGAGACAGCTGGTCAAGAAGTTTAACTGCAACGAAGAAGACCAAGCAATCTGGAACTGCTTCAGTGAATGTAAAATAATACTGTTATCACAGCCAGTTGTTGTTAAAAAAAAAACCTGATGAACCTTCTGTTGTAAATGAAAGCTCTAGACAAGAAAATCCTACAAGTGGTGCTAAACGATTTAAGAACAGTGATGTACCTACCAAGACAAAAGTTTAATGTAGTGAATCCAAAATTTATGTCATTTATCGATCACCAGATGAAAATACAAAACAATTCGCAAAATAAAGATGGTAACTTGTCTTTTTTTAAAAGCTTACTTCCAACAGTTGCCTTACTTAACGATGATCAAATATTACAATTTCAAACAGATGTTATAACTTTGCTGCAAATCATAAAAAGTCACAATAGAAGTCAACCACCATCCACTTCCAACTACTCGTATCAATTACAACAAGGTTATTTAACATCAGAGTACGTTCAACCATTGCCAAGCCCGTCAACTCAAAGTTCGTCACAATTTGACCACTTTCAACGCTCGCCATCTGAATCGACTCGCTCTGATTTTCCAGACTTTACTATGTTGTAATTACACGCATACACGCCATCATAAAGGGCGGGCATGTTTTCGACGCTGAAGTACCTGAGGGTCTAAAAGTACCCTTGTTTTGGACGCTGCCGGAAGGATTATCGCAGATACCAGATATTAGATATAATTAGGGTTTAATGATGGTCATTGAAATTTACTTAGTTACTAGTTATTAGTTTGTCAGAGAATAGTGAAAAGTGAACATGGAAATTTCAACGTTAGTAAGTAATCGTGGTAAAATTTTGCTCAAAGTGAACAGTTTTACTTTTTCTCAAGATAAAGTACTAAAATCGGGAGAAACGTATTGGAGGTGCGTAAAACGGTCGTGTAAAGCGAAGATATTCACGAAAGGGCCAGAAAAGTTAGTGATCCGAAGTAATCTAGAACATAATCACGAGTGTGATATCAAGA